TCTAACCACTAGACTAGTCTGAGAAGTGGGTCCGGAGTACGAGATCAGGACAACGTAGATGGCCCCTGTTCACATCTCAGGTGACACCTTTCTACAGGGGAGCCAGCTGGGGTGAGCCTTTTCAGTCCTGTCTTGTTGTGGGGTCATCATGGGACTTGCTTTGAGTCCCTGAGTCCTTCAAGCTTGGGAGCAGAGAACTGCCCAATGATCCACTTGTTGGCAAGAAGTCCATGGTGAGGGCGTCACAGTTTGGACACTTTGGGCCTAATGCTTCTTTCTTTCAGATGGAGCGTTTGTCGTCTTTGTTATGCTGAGAAACCTGAGCCACTGAATGGGAGGCACTTGGAAACCTAGTCAATAATTGGGCCTGCCTTTTTTTTTTTTTTTTTTTTTTTTGAAAGTTTTTTCTTATGGGCGGGGGCGGTCCCCCAGACAGGCGTGTGCGCTCGCCAGACAGACAGAGAAAGACGTAGAGACAGAAAGCGAGAAATCACCCCCCAGGGGGGATGGCCACGCCACAGTCCCTTCTCCTCCATTCTCCTTTCGGGATCTTGGGCACGCACGCACACGCGTCCGGCATGAGTTTTAAGCCACTGGGTCCGGGACTCGAACCGTGCTCAACTACATGGGAGTCCAGCGACATAGCCATTACACTAACTGCTGGTCTCTGGGCCTGCTTTTTATCTTCCCTTTTCTCTCTCTCAGACCCCTTCTTTCTCCTGGTTTTGACGATAAAAGGCTGTGGTGGCAACTTGAAGGAGGTCACTCTAAGCTGCTTCTGACCCTTGCATGGGACAAGAACTTGTCTTTTTTTTTTCTTTCTTTTTTTAAGGGAGATTTTTGTTACAGGGTGTGTGTACTCACTGGAGAGACAGACACAGAGAGATAGAAAGCGAGAAATCACCCCCCAGGGGGGATGGCCACACCGCAATCCCTTCTCCTCCATTCTCTTCTCGGGATCTTGGGCACGCACATGTGTGTCAGATGCTAAGTCTTTGTGTCTGGGACTTGACCTGTGGTTGGCCATATGAGAGTCCAGTGACATAATCTGCTGGTCCCAAGAACTTGTCTTTCAATATGAAAAACACTTTCTGCAAATTTTATTCAGCCTGTTATATGTAAAATCCTTTCACAACATTTTTTTTATAATTCTTTACAATTCTCTCTCAGACATTTTTTAATATAACTCAAACCTTTGTGACATGATTTATACCTTAAATATTTGCCCCCTTTTCTTTTCTTTTTCCCATTCTGGAATAATAAAACCATTTCACTTTAGAACAAAAAATTTTACCATGTAAAACTCTCTATGTCGGGACCAGCAGATGGCATAATGGTTATGTCGCTGGACTCCCATGTAGTCAATTGCGGTTTGAGTCCCGGACCCGGTGGCTTAAACTCACCCTGGGCATGTGTACACGCATGTCCAAGATCCCGAGAGGAGAATGGAGGAGAAAGAATTGCGGCGTGGCCATCCCCCCGGGGGGGTGATTTCTCGCTTTCTGTCTCTCTGTCTCTTTCTGTCTTTCTGGTGAATGCATGCGCCCTATAGCAAAAACCTCTCCGTAAAAAAATTATTTTATTTAACTTTATTTATTTATTTAAAGAGTTATTCAATTTTATTTATTCATTAACTTATTTTAATTTGACCAGAGAGAGACACACAGACAGATAGATATATAGAGAGAGACAGAGACAGATGGAAAGTGAGAAAGCAAGCCACCTGGTCCAGGACTCAAACCGTAGTCAGCCATGTGGGAGTGTCCAGCACTTTAATCATCATGCCACCTGCTGGTTCAGCCATGTGGGAGTGTCCTAATTTGACCAGAGAGAGACACACAGACAGATAGATATATAGAGAGAGACAGAGACAGATGGAAAGTGAGAAAGCAAGCCACCAGGTCTGGGATTTGAATCATGGTCTGCCATCTGGTTGTCCAGAGCGCTTGATCACCCTACCACCTGCCAGTCCCAGAGACACAGAACTTTTAATGCAGCCAGCTGTCTCCCAAAGGACTTTGCCTCCCGAAGGACTGGGTCTAACCAAGATCTGGACACATTCTTTCCATTTTGGGCATTAAATTTTAAAAAGGCATGAAAATGACGCTGGATTTAAGCAAGATAAGCGTTGCAATGTGGAAAAAAGTTTAGGGGAGCTGGTTAATATGGTAAAGGTCCGAGAGCTAAGTCAGGAGGACTTAATGATTGAGTAAATTGAACAAAGGGGGAGAAGGCCCCTCTGAAACTCAGAAGTCATTTCGGTTTCAGAGGAAAGGGGCAGCTAGACGAAAAAAGCACAAAAGAACTCCATGTTGCGTTACTTTCACTGTAAGGGTTTTATTAAGCCAATGAAGAAATGCCACCTGTCATAGGCACTAAGAGGACTTGAGGGGAAGCTTTGTAAAAGGGAGGAAAAATGAGAAATCCCATATATAAAGAGAAAAAGAGAAGCAGAGGTCTGTTTCCCATTGGAGGGAAAAGGACCAGAAGAAAGGAACAAGAGGAGGTCCTTCCAACTCTCCGCGGGGCAATCCGGGAAGAGTTCAGCTCTTCAGGACATTTAGAGGCACCAGAGGGTCGAGCACCTCAACTGTTCGGAGTGTGTCCATCCTCCCCCGTGGTGAGCAGCACTCCAGAAAAGGAAAACAGGTCACAAGCTGAGTGTTAACCATCGCCAGCAACGGGGGATCCTTCGGCCACTTCTTGGCAAGCCCGTCCTCTCGGTCCTGTAGACCCACAGCTGTCCTACTGACTCTTAACTGGCTGACAGAGGCCGGGTGTTTGCTTTGGACAGAGTCACTTCTAGGGACGACTCTCAGAAAAAGAAAAAATCTATAGAGAGTTGCTTTACTTAGCCCTCTGCTGAGTCGGAAAGCCAGGCAAAACACCAAATGTGATATGAGATGTCGGGGTGCACGGGCCCAGTGACCATGCCAGACTCAGGGCCAGGAGATGACCAGGTGCTTGTCTCACGCTCATGAAGAAATAGAGATGCAGACATGGAGCGAGGCCTTAGAGTAGATGCAGTCTTTGTGCTCAGCTGCAGCACACGCGGATGTGCTAAACAGAGACATAATCTACTGCTGGGCTTTACAGATAGAAGAAACCTGAGCGTTAGCCAGAGCAGGCCAGGAGAGGCTTGTTTAGAACCACAAGGCACGTGGTTTTCTCTTTCCTATAAAAGAATAAGCGGATGGGACCAGCAGTTAGTGTAATGGCTATGTCGCTGGACTCCCATGTAGTCGACTGCGGTTCGCCTCCCGGACCCAGTGGCTTAAACTCATGCCGGGAGAGGAGAATGGAGGAGAAGGGATTGCAGTGTGGCCATCCCCCCTGGGGGGGGGTGATTTCCTGCTTTCTGTCTCTCTGTCCCTCTCTGCCTGTCTGGCAAGCACCCTATAGCAAAAACCTCTACAAAAAAAAGAATGAGCGGCTTTCTTCAGCAGGGACGCGGAGTTCTTCTGACCCTCGCTCTTATCTGTCTGTCCTTTCTCAATCCACAGCCCTTCCCCTTGGGGTACCCTATCTCTTCGCCCTCGGGCTGGGGTGCAGATGAATGAAGGAGCAGTAAAGCAGCATGTATTAAAACAAGAAAAGGAAAATGGAAATGAATGGGGAGGGGTTCCAGAGTGGGTTGTTGACTTGGGGTTCTCCTCAGGGGGTTTTAAGGCAAAGGCTTGCTTTCTGATAAGGAAGTGGGCTTAAAAAGTAGATAAAATGTGTCTATTCTTTGATCCTTTTTTAAAATAGATAATTGAGGTTCTTTATTGCTAAAGTTTTCTGTGGGGCTCTCTGACCCTAAGGGTCTGCATTCTTTGGCACCTCTGAGCCACAAACACCATAACGTTGGTGCCGTGGACTGTAACTTAGTTACTACCGTGAGCTGTGTCCTGTGTGCAAGTAGTTTCTTATTTAAGCGAGTTGTGAACAAGCAGTGAGAGCTAATCATTCCTAGCGAGAGCAGTGAATGGTTTTTATTTGACATTTAGCCAGAGTGACTCCATCTTGACCAGAGTTGGCTCCCTCTCACAAGTCTATATCCTACCTCAGTTTTTTCATCGTACCCCTTACATGAACTTTTTGAAGACCCCCCTCAGTGTTTTATAAAAATGAGTGAAACAAAACAAAACAAAACAAAAACATTTTAACCTGCAATATGACACAGAGATGATCATTAGGTGAATTTAAAAGACATCATTAGGTGAATTTACTTTTTAACCTCTAGGAATGCCCATTGACTCTGGGCCAAAAAAGAGAAAAAAAAAAAAAAAAAAGAATGAAAGAACGCGTATGACATAATGGAATTCCATCGTGGAAGATGGAACCTAGAAGGTGAGGTAGGCCCAGTGGTAATGTGTTCTGGTGCTCTGGAAATAGAACCGGCTTTGTAATGCATATCTTTTGTCCCATTGTGGGGGAAGTTTTGAGAAAGGCTAGGTGGCCGCTGCTTGCACTGACTCGGGCAGCATGTCCTCCTTCCACTTGGCTTCCAGTGACCCTTTCTCAGCGTTTCATTCGTTTTAAATCCGGGATCCTGGGTTGCCAGCAGCCTCTTGGGGCAGTTTGGGGCTGAGTCACTTCTGGTGGCTATGTAAACAGAGCGAGTTCCTAGATGTGGCTGTCCTTGAGTCGGGTGGCCCGAGGTCCAGCCGGTCGGCTGTGGTCAGTGGGCTCAAGGACAGGATTCGGTGCCTCCCCCATGGAACATAATGCAAACCAGACCCAGTCGTAAAACCCCGAAGGGGGCTGTGGAGGCGCTCCGAGTCTCAGGGTCTCTGCAAGCCTTCATGGCGCTGTTCTACCACACTCTGTTCTCTGTGGGTTTTTTGATTCTCTGTTTTGATCTTGTTTCTGTTGTTTGTGTGTGGGTGTTACATGGGCCTGGTTGTTCCAGGAGGAGCACGTGGGGGCCTCTTTTTTCTGGGGAATCTTTTTTGGATGCCAGTTAGCCTAGAGCAACGTGGTCAGTGTGTCACACAGGGCCACCTTCTCCAGCGGATTCAGATGGACACACTGTTCTCGATGAGGGGAGGGTCCAGGTATGAGTAGGGCAGTGCCAGGCCCCGGTTCCGCTCCCGGATGTTCCTCGAGATCTGGGCCAGGCGGCTCTGGAAGGCAGCGATGCTCCGCCGTGGGGCCTCCTCGGTGAAGTGCTCGTCGGGGTAGGTGCCCAGAGGTCTCTGGGGACCAACCACAAGTTGGGTAAGGGAAGTTGTTGAGGTCCTGCATCCCATAATCCCTGTCCTCATTCCCTGAGCAGCT